TACAAAATATCTTCATGGAACATGATCTTTACTTAATATCCTAATGATTTTTGGCATAAAAGAAAAATCTATAATTTTGACCCATACAATGTATTGTTGGCTGTTGCTACAAATATACCCCAGCGACTTAAGACTGCTTTTGTGCTCCAGGGTCACATATAGTATATATATCTAAAAGTGAGGTGGCCAGTGCAGGTGATGTACCTCTGGATGCTCCAGGACATGGTGACAGGGAACTGGTCCTCTTTGCTCAAGACCTCCATCAGGTTCTTTCTGCTGGGAGGACTGATGGTCCAGAGAGAGTTCGAGCTTCCTTCCAGCTCTGCCACAGTCACGTCCTCCGCAGTGTACGCCTCCAAGAACTGCAGTGCACTCTGGGAAAGAGATCGAGCTGCACTTGACACACTACACAACAACTAAAGAGTGGAGTTTCTCCAAACCATCACACCACAGACCGGCGCTGATGAGTGACTTACAGAATTGTGTCTGTATGAATTCATGAAGCTGATGAAATCTCTGTCAGTGACGTCCTTCAGCTGATTCTGCTGCGCACTCATAGTGAAGATGGGCTAGACAGCACAGACATATCTGATCAAACTCTTATTTCAGTTTCAGTCAACAGTGCTGCGTTGTAGCCCATTACATGTCATCTGGATTACGTAATCAGATTCCCAACGTTCCCAATGTTCGTGTAACGCAGGGATTCCCAAAAGTTGACATAAAATATTTACTTGAAATATCTCTGAGGAAGTTCATATTTCAATAATTTAACAACACATTGATGTTACATCTAAAATTACATTTAGGTAAACAAAATATTTCTATTTTTAGTGTTCAAGCGTTAAAATTTTTATTTTGTGTAATATATGTGGTGTAATGTAATATTTGATGCATTTTATGATGTTGATACGGAAAAATGAAGTACATTTTCTTTCTCTTTGCTCTTTTATATCAATATGATATGTTTAATTGTAAGTTTAAAACAAGTTAGATAAAAAGTAATCTAAAAAGTAGTCAGAATGCATTACCTAAACCGAGTAACCTAGATTACATTACTAACTACAGTTTACATCATGTAATCTGTAATCAGTAACAGTAATATTTTATTATTGTCTATGTCTATATAAGGTTCCTGTGGCTCAGTGGTAGAGCATTGTGTTAGCAGCACATACTGGTACTGGTAAAAAATGTATAGCCTGAATTAGGGCTGCACGATAAATCGCATGCGATATTTAACGCGCATCTTGTCAGAAATCCGGTTCTGTAATCAGCGGTAAATCTCCATCACCTGCGGGCTTTCACATTGAGCAGCATTAACTACACAGAGCCGTTGTTCACTGACGAGCAGCGCAAAACCACGTTCATATTCGTGCGATTTTTTGCGCAGCTCGTCAGCTCGTCAGAACCGGCTTTACTGATAAGATGCGCGTTAAATATCACATGCGATTTATCGTGCAGCCCTAGCCTGAATGCAGTGTTTGGATAAAAACGTCTGCTAAATGCATAAATTATTATTATATAGTTTTGATTAAGTTTTTGATATTTTAGCAGTTCAACTAAATGAAAACAAGAAATGTTGCCTTTGCATTTAGCTGACATAAAACAAGTTTAATGTTTTTTAACATTTTATTTCCGCTAATATTTATTTCATATGGAAGCTTGTTTATGCCACAGAATAAAAAAATAAATACAACTTTTCACACTTCTAAACCTTTTTTAACATTTGAGTTTATATATCAAAAAAGTCAGAATTGCAAGATTTAAACTGTAAAAAAAATTCCAAATTGTAAGATAAAAATGACATTTTTAATTTTTTATTCCATGGCGAAAACAAAAATCAAGTCAGAATTCTGTGTTTATATTTCGCAATTCTGAAACAGTCCAAATTGTGAAAGCAAAGTCTGAATTGAGAGATAAAAAGTTGCGATTACCTTTTTTGTTTTATTTTTTAATTCCGTGGCAGAAATGGGCTTCCATAATTTCAATTATAAAACGGAGAGTTCCGGTCCTTGATTCTGATTGGCTGGGCCGCGTTCGAAGCTGTTGTAAATTACTCTACGAACACACACCTTTGTTTACTTCTGTGTGTTGCTCGGCAACCACTTTGTTGCAACCACAACTGATTCTGAGGAACTACATTGTTTGGTGGAAGAATACTGTTTTTATGAATATCATTACACTTTATTTGCTCTGTTTTATTTTTTTGTGAAACCTTACTACGTATATGGAATAACCATTTTATAAAAGCAATAAGCCCCGTGAAGCCGTGGTTTACAGTGAATTTATAACAGCTAAGGGGGTTAGGTACGACACTCCACGTCGTACCTAACAACGCCTCTCAGCTGTTATTCACACACCTGAAAGCCGCCCAGTGTGATGGTGACAGACACGTCCAGCGGTTTGTTGACCACTCCAGCCACAGATTTGACCAGAGACATGAAAAGCAGAGGAAACCAGACGATACAGATGAGCAGCATCACGATCATCCCCCCCATCCCGTACTTCACCACCTTCTTCTTCTTCTGTCCTCGAGGCTGAGGATACCTCTGAGAACACACAAACACACCACCGTGAATCCTGCTTCTGAGTGCTGCTTTGACAAACACTGGCTGGACGTCATCTCACTTTCTCCGACTCCCTCCAGCACTTGAGCACAAAGATGTGAGCGTAGATGTCCTCCACACAGATCCAGCTGGACAGACTGAGCGTGGTGTCGGTCCAAACCCAGTCCATCACCGCCCGCAGCTCCGTCAGGAACGGCACCAACCGGAACCTGAGCACCATTCAGAAAGATGAGACTCGGTCAGGACTCCAGCACTTCTGACAAACCCCAAATAAACTGTGTATATATTACAACATTATGTCTAGTACTGAAAAAATGTGCAAATCTAGGCATTCTTTGGCATGAAGTAATAAGAAGCTGGCATTGCAGTGATTTTATGATGGCTAAGTAAACATGATTTGAAGCAGAGTGCTTAAAACCCTCTGAACCGTGGTAAAATCAATGTAACGCATGGCCTTAGTTGGCCTATGGCTTTTATGAACAAAAACATCAGCGATATTAAAAAGCTGCACAATAAATCGTTTTATTCGTGATCGTGTTTTCTGAGAATTCTAATGTAAAAATAAATAAATAAATAAAATGACAATAATCTTGATTACCAAATGTGATTTTATTATTTTGAGCAGTCATAAACTGTTTAACCATTATCATGTAGAAATGTGCAATAAATTTCATTTAAAAAAATAGCCTAACTATAGAAGTTTTAGCATTTTATATATACATGTTTTTGAACGAAAGTCTCTTCTGCTCATCTAGGCTGCATTTATTTGATCATAAATACGGTAAAAACTGTAATATTGTGAAATATTATTGCAAATCAAAATAACTGTTTACTATGTGAATATCTGTTAAACTGTAATTTATTTCTGTGATGCGCAGCTGTATTTTCAGCATCATTACTCCAGTCTTCAGTGTCACATGATCTTCAGAAATCATTCTAATATGCTGATTTGCTGCTCAAGACACATTTCAACAATGTTGAGCTGCCCAATATTTTTTGTGGAAACTGTGATACATTTTATTTTTATCAATTTAATGCATCCTTGATGAATGGAATTATTATACATACTTACCCTAAACTTTGTATATACATTAGCATTGATATATTTGTGGTCATCCACATGAAGATTGACTTTAATATCCTGTAATGCTCTGTGATCACAGGATCAGAGTCTCTGAGGATGAACACACTGTAATGTGGCTGTGTAATGAGTCCAGCTGTATTTCTTACCCTTGGAAGAGGAAGAGATTGAGGTAATTATAGCTCTTGGTCAGGAAGTTTCCCAGCACGCGAGTGGGGTAACCGCAGCGGATCTGATAGGCTGACAGACCGAAGTAGATGCACTTCACAAAGTACCAGAGCTGGGCAACTGTGTTCTGACTGAAGCGCCTAAATCAAATCCAATCACATGCTTGATGAGCCTCGAGCTTCTTAAATGGGTTCAATAATGAGAGTATTCGTCATTTACCTCTCGGTGACTCCTGGGAGAATGAAGAACATCCAGAAGTGAATGCCGAAGACCAGGATGACCTGGAAGATGACCTTCCCCATCACGGTCTTCCTCAGGTACAGCGCACGGTCCACCACCATCGTCCCAAACTGGATGAGCACCATCACCAGGAAGGCCTCGGGAACCTGATCCTCTGACAGAGAGGAAGTGATGTCAGCCGCAGCAGAGTGTTTCTGTGGAGAAACCAGTTTCACTTCAGTTTTATTGCACTTAGATGGTGTGTAATAATTGTATTTTTTTTGTTCAAAGTCAGCATGATTATTGCGAACGATTCATCCATGCATGTTTAATTTTTTTTAGTATTTTGAGCTAATAACTTTTAATCAAAATGTCACAATACAGACTTGTCCACTTAAAAGTGCCACTTTCTTACAATAGACTACAAACTCACACTCGTTTTTTAATGCAACACCCACATTTATAAAAACTCAAAAACTGATGGATAGAACAAAGTTTTTTCTTTTCTAATAATCCGTTACACTTGGATGTTCATCACAACATGGAACAAAATATCTGTCCCTATTTTTGTTTCATGCCAATTTTAACTGCTTTTTCAAACAGGATTTCTTATGTTAAAGAACACTTCACCCAAAAATGAAAATTTGCTGTAAATGCACCATTCACTGCAGAGCATCCATTGCTGAGACACTGATGCAATGCTACATTTCTCTAAATATCCAAACTCATCTACATCTGGGATGGCCTGAGGGTGAGCACATTATCAGCAAACTTTCATTTTTGGGTGAACTACTCCTTTAAGCTGTCATGTGTTTGAGCAGGTGAAGCTCTACAAACCCCGAAAGCCCAAAATCCGAAAACGATGATGATGAAGTCGACCGTGTCGGCCAGAAACATGAGCACGTAGACGTCGGTCACGGCGCTGTACTCCGGGTGGATCAGGTTATAGAAGAACTGCCGAATGGGAATGTAGATATCCAGAATCCTGAAACAACAGCAACCCATCAGATCGAACAATTACAAAAATAATATGACGATGTAACTTCCTTTTCAAATAAATGAGCGACTTGAGCGGGAGTCTCACGTTTTGACAGTGAAGCGCTTTGCTTTGATCAGCTGTTCTCTGAGCTTGTCCAAAATGAGCTCCCTGCGGCTCTTCAGTTGAGCGCTCAGTGAACGCACACTCGTCCTGGAGCCGCTGCTGCCTGCGGAGACACATCCAGAGCCGAGGTCAGGGACCCGCAGGGCTTCTGAGACTAAAAACAGATGTGTGCCAGCTGTGAAACCTATTTGGGAGCATGTGTGCGAATAAACAAGCCCCTGCAGGTATTTAAAATGTCTAATCATCTTGATGATTCTAAGAGGTCTTACATTTGGGGATAGAAAAGCCTAATGTGATTGTTAATTAAACAGACTCTGATTTCATCAAGTAAATGTGAACGCTGGCCATTCAAAGTCCAAACGCAGCGCTGTTGTGTGTTTTACAGGTTTGCGGTTTCTTTGTAGTTTGCAAACAATGAAAATCACACATTTACGCCAAATGCTTGCGATCGACTGTTGATGAATTATGACAGCGTTTGCTTTATGGTGTTTATAAGATGTTGTGCATTTTATCTCCCTCGTCTTTCTGAATGAGCAGCCAGAAATAGCAAAGCATAGACATTTCAAAATCATGGTGCATTTCAGGCTTCTTTAGGATTAGAAGTCCTGTATTATGCATAAAGTTTTGTTTTGTTTTCCTTGGGTAATATTGCTAATTTGGTTACACAATAAACTGTATCTAGCATTTAATTCAATGTAAACTCTTGTAGCAACAGCAAACATTAATTAACACAGTCAATATATAGATTTTACTAGAAATCTGTTTATAGGATTTATAAGTATACAACTATCAAATACAGTTTCAAGCTGAATGAGTGCACTTTTTGTACTCTTTTCTCCTTGCATCCCAAGTTTTTTTAATGTGCTCCTGATTTTTGACTTTAGGAGCACACGTGTTCCTTGGGAAAAAAAGTGTGCTTTCTTTCAGCAAATTTTTCACAGCCAAAATCCACTGATTTCAATAGAAATCCAAGCGAATGCTGGAAGATTTCCACACACAGATTTCACATCGGGTTCAGCTGGTCACGCAAATTCATGATTATGTTTTTTTGTTTATATTTTACTGACAAATAGCAATTTCTGCAAGTTATAAAAAAAATAGAGCTTGACATAACTAGAAAGCCTTATATAAATTATAAAAATGTACATGATTTTTTAAAAAAATTTTAATATTTACTATGACTTTTCCATGTGTTATTTTTTTTCCAAGACTGGGAATTTCAAATATGGTTGTTCTTAAGAGAACAAATTAAAGTAAGAAATATGTCAGCTTACAACCTGATTTGCAGCAGTTTTAGCTGATTTTAAAGCTTGTTTTGTCTTGTTTTTAAGTCATCTCGAGGCCCCCTTGGAAGTTTGCTGAGGTCCCTGGTTGAGAACCACTGCAATTAGACCTTTCTGAGCCACCAAATGTGACCGAACCTTCAGATATCAGAGTGCACGAGCAGAAGCGTGTATCTGAGCGCACCTGGTTTAGAGCGGGCCGAGCGCTGCGAGACGCTGGAGCTCTGTCGGAGGGGTTTTCTGGGCAGCCGGATGTGTGTGGAGACGGGTGAGGCGTCTTTCTCTTCACTGTCTGAATGAGAGCTCGCAGTCTGACCTCCTGACCTGGGCTCATCTTCATCCCACAGACCGTAGCACTGAGGAAGAAGAGCGCGTTCACATTGCATGTTCAGTCAAGACACGTGACACACATCACAGAGCGTCTCTCTACCTTCAGGATGGAGCGGTGGAAGAAGAGCGCCAGGAGCTGGATCAGGTCGTAGTGGACGTAGCCCTCTTTCTTCTCCACACCGATGATGTTGGGAGGGTGGAAGGGCTTGGATTTGTCCAGCTTTATGCTCTGGTTAAACGGAAAGAAGCCAAACTGGAAGAAGTACTTGATCACTATGGTGACCTGTGTGAGAAAATAAGAATATATTATTTTGAGAAAGAACAACGCAACATGATAACTGTTAGACTAAAGCAGGTTAATTACAGGTCGTGCAACATTGTATTAAGATGAACCACTATGGGTTATTTGTATGTGGTCAACCGGTCGATATTATACAACTACTGTAACTACTAGGGCTGTCAAAAAACTACATTCGTAACTGAATAATAAAAACCCGCCAAAGTCTCGATATATGTTTTTTCAAAGTTGAACTTGCATTAATTTTCCATGGCTTTCTCTTTTGTGCGAGACGCGAGTGCAACGCTGATAGATGTCCCTCTAGAAAATGTGTGAAATATGTGTTCTGTGTGAACGGCTTGGTTTCAGTTTTGACGTAAACAAGATCTTCTCCGCATTGATGTTCTCTTTTCCCGCAATACTTGTAATGAACAACACAGCAGCGCCGCATCTAGTGGCTTCAACTGGACAGGCTAACAAAAGCATTATAATGCAACGACACTTACATCGTCATCGCATCTCGTGCGCCGCTGATAAAGCTGCCTCCTTAACGCACACCTAAAATTCAAATGCAAAAATGTTGTGGATCTTTATTTTAAATTCGATGAATATTCGAAATTCGAATTTTTTTTTTGACAGCCCTAGTAACTACTGTATCAACTTCGTGAAAATCCTTTACTTAATTTGGTGTTCCTGGTCAAAAATGACCGGCTTTTTAAAAATTGCTTGTAAATCTCTCCTTTGGTGAAATTATCATTTTTGGGATTTTTGTGGGATTTGTGGGATTTTTATCCCACCTTGTTATACTTGTGGTGTTCCAGATGTCCAGCACACAAAAAATTGCTTCTAAATCTCTCGATATGCGATATTATCACCAAATCTTGGATTCAATCTTTGTATCAACTTGTTTTTTGAAAGTAGCACAGGTTTTGTGTTTCTTTTGGGGCTGATTGATCGCAGGCCTCATTGATCTGAGTTTATGCATCAGTTTTTGAGTGAAAAAAGCATTATTTGTGAATAATTTTGGCAATATTCACTCAATAACTGAGGTGCATATTAAGTTCAGATCAATGAGGCCTGCGATCAATCAACTCCAAAAACAAACACAAAACCTGTGCTACTTTCAAAAAACAAGTTGATACAAAGATTGAATCCAAGATTTGGTGATAATATCGCATATCGAGAGATTTCGAAGCAATTTTTTGTGTGCTGGACATCTGGAACACCACAAGTATAACAAGGTGGGATAAAAATCCCAAAAAAGCACTAAAATTATATATATTTTTTGGTAATTTGTTAAACCCTGTGTGAGCGAAGTCAGTAAGTTTTAGTCCAATGCAAGAACATTAACTAGCATTTTCAGGAAAAAGAATATCCTCTCCGAAACACAACATGAGTTCTGTGCACAAAACTTTACAGTAAGTAAGTAATTTGTTCACATTAGTTAACATGAACAATAAAAAAAAACTTCTAAAGCATTTATTAAACTTACTTGTTAATTTCAACATTTACTAATACATGATTAACAACAAAAATTATATTTATAAATATTATTTAATGGATCTGAGCGGACATGAACTAACAATGAACAGTTGTGTTTTTATTTGAACATAAACAAGGATTAGTAAATAAATACTGAAATAAATTTGATGCTCATTGTTAATTAATGTTAGATAACTAATGCAAACCAAAATGTGGTTATTTTAAGGTGTCCTTGTTGCAGTGTGATTATACAATTAAAGCTGCAATACATATCTTTTTTGTTTCATGATATCTTTGTTTCCTTTTTTTTTAACTTGTAACATTTAAATACAGATGTAGGTGTATAGATGCAGTTCTGTTTATTACCCGCTAGAGCGCTAAAAGTTATGTATTACTGCGTTAAGTACTGAGTAATATGAATAAACAACATGTACTACAGGTTTAGGGTTTGCTTTAGTTATTTGTAATTATGCATAATTTACTCTTATTGCTATAGTAAGTGCATGTAACGTGTGTAACAAGGACACTGTAAGATAAAGTTACTCAGTGTCATGGAGATACTGAACGATCGATCCTGAATCTATGGAGCGTCACAGATGCAGCGATACCTCCGTGTAGACGATGGCCGTCATCCAGAAGCGCTTGCTGGGACGGGGAACCGACAGCATGGCCCAGAGGAAGATGAGGATGGGCAGCACCAGCGTGGCCACCGATGCGGAGATCATGTGGTTGAGGATGATGACCAGATAACACACCATCTGAGAGTGAGCCACCAGCATGCTGTAGAGAGCGTAGCAGAGCTGGAGGAACTGCGGCTGAGAGCGGTAGAAATGCTCCGACGCCTCCAGCTCCTCGTCATAGAACATCCTGACGGAGAGAAACAGACACAATCAGCTATAATGCACTTTTGAAGTGTGCTTTCACATACAGGGAGACTTGTCACACTTTTTCAATTTCTAGTATTTTTTTATTTTATTTCTTATTTATTTATTTTATTAAAAAAAAAGTCTACATAATTAAAGTCTTGGCCACAAAAGGCTTTTGAACATTTTCACAGTTATTGCCCAGGACATATTTATCACTTTTATTTTGTTGTCACAATGGGAACCAGCCGTTTTGAGATACTGGAGCAATACGTTAAAAATAAATAAATAAATACTACTATATTTAAATGTATCTATACATCTATATCTGTATTTAAATGTTACAAAAGGAAACAAAGATATCATGAAATAAAAAAAGAAATGAAAACAAATTGTAATTAATCTGTTTTTTGTTTGTTTTTTTTTCTCCCCAACTTACTCCACATGACACAAATAGCCTTGTTTTAAGAACATAATTTAAAATAATTTAACCACTTGGGCCTTAAAATATTATGGTTACTGTTAAAGATGTATTATGGTTACTGTTTTTTTTTTAAAAATAATTTTAAGTGTTGTTGAAATTGATACACATGTCAAATATTACATGATTGTATTTTTACATACACTACTGTTCAAAGGTTTGGGGGTAATTTTATTAAATTAATACTTTTATTTAGTAAGGACACAGTAAATTGATCAAAACTGACAGTAAAGTCATTTATAATGTTAGAAAACAAATATTTCAAAGAAATGCAGTTCTTTTGAACTTTCTATTCATCTGTGAATCCTGAAAAATAAAATGCATTACGGTTTCCACAAAAATATTGTGCAGCACAACTGTTTTCAACATTGATAATAATCAGAAATGTTTGTTGAGCAGCAAATCAGCATATTAGAATGATTTCTGAAGATCATGTGACACTGAAGACTGGAGTAATGATGCTGAAAATACAGCTGCGCATCACAGAAATATATTACAGTTTAACAGATATTCACATAGAAAACAGCTGTTTTACATTCTAATAATATTTCACAATAGTACTGTATTTTTTATCAAATAAATGCAGCACTGGTGAGAAGAAGAGACTTTCAAAAACATTAAAAGATCATAACCCCAAACTCTGAATGGTAGTATACATAAAAAAAGTCATGATGATGCTTTTGGAGAGGAAAAAGAAATGTAACTGAACACATTTTTGTGTCCAGCTTGTGTTGCAGGTGTTTAACTGAGGTCACATGACATGCTCTCACCTGCTCCGCAGCAGCTCGCTGGCTGTCAGCTGATGGCTCATTGAGAGCAGAACGTCGGCGCTCTTCTCCTCAGGTGTCTGGATCCTCAGCCTCCTCCCCTCCGCGTCACACACTGAGTCCAGGCCCGTGGCTTTACTGTACGACGGAGGGATGTCCGCCTCGCCCTGCGTCCAGCACACCTGCTCCGCTCTCAGAGGCGTCCGCAGGTCTGAAGTGCTGCTCCAGAGTTTGTCTGGATGCTCTCTCAGTTCTCGCTGGCTCACGGCCTCCTCGACGGTGTCGCTGGTGCCCTGCCGCGAGTAGAGCTCAGTGCACTGCGTGCGGTCACTGCCAGAGCAACACAGAGTTCAGGTCAGTGAGAAGAAATAAGGTTGATAGTTGTAACTCATGCAAATAACCACAAGGGGGGACCGCCATCCCACAAGTCTGACCAGAAGACTAGCATAAAACACTGCACACTGCCTACTCTTTTTTTTTTTAGGGATGTGAAACAGCAAAATACAGTAACAAAAAGAAAATATATTTCTTTATATATTAATGAATAATCTATAAAATTAATGCATTTTAAAAATATTCAGAATAATACATTGTTTATGTATTAGACAATATATTAAATAATACATTTATATACAAGGAATTTTTGCTTCCATATTAAAAAATAAATTTAAAAAAGTGACCCGTCACGTTGCCTTGACTTTTAAAAGTCATTCAATTCCAGTCCAAATATCCTAAAATTTTAATATGAAAATCTGTTCAGCTTTATGTAAACCTAAGCATAACCTCATGAAAGAGAAATTAATTGTCTTAGAATTGCAAGATGTAAACTCGCAATTAAGAGCTTATAACTTGTAAATATAAGATATAAACTCAGTATTCAGAGAAAAAGTCTGCATTGTAAGAATTGCGAGAAAAAAGTCAGAACTGCAAGAAACAAACAAAAAAGAGAAGCAGTTACCTTTTTAATTTTTTTTATTCCGTGGCAAAAACAAACAAAAAAAAAATCATAATTGTGAGATTTAACTCAGAACTGTGAAAAAATATATATTTTTTTTACCTCACAGTTATTTATTTATTTATTTTTACTTTTGCTATTCTGTGGCAGGCAGTGCAAACTGAGCAGGATAAATTAATAGTACCTTAGGAAACATCACTAATAAATAATAGACTGTTATATAATCTGTACGGTGCAGTGTCTAAATTCACTCTGAATATCTGTGTGCATTGTGCTTTGGCTGTGTGTGAGCAGAAGGTTCTGGAAACACCGTCCGTCTCTCATCACAGGGCTACAGTAACCATCCACAGCTGTGTGTGTGTGTGTGAGAGAGAGTGTGTGTGTGCGTGTGTGTGTGTGTGTGTGCGTGTGTGTGTGTGCGTGCGTGTGTGTGTGTGCGTGTGTGTGTTAACACTCAGGACAGATTCGTTTACACGCATAATAGAGTCACCTGCCTCCTAACTGGTAATGACAGAAAGGCCCGAGCTGTAAGTACACAGAAACACACGGCCGGTGTGAAGCAGAGCAGACGCTGGAGGTTCATACCTGGCTGCACTGTCTGCAGAAGACGACTGCACATCTACACCAGGCAGGCGGCAGAGTCTGGGTCGAGCGCGCTGGCTGGTTTTGAGAACATGCTCACTGGTTTCCTCAGACTCGAACAGCACAGTGGATTCTGTGTACTCACTGCAGAAAACACACAGGCACGAACCAGATTCAGGATACACTTACAATAAATAACATGTCATTAGCATGTTTTGTTGGATATTGTTGGATACTGATCAAAAGTGACTAAGTAAAGATAATACATTACAGTTTAACAGAGATTCACATAGAAAACAGCTGTTTGAAATTGTAATAATATTTCATAATTTTTTCTGTATTTTTGATCAAATAAATGCAGCCTTGGTGAGCAGAAGAGACTTCTTTCAGGAAAAAACACAAAAAATCTTACAAACTTTTGAATGGTGTAAATATGGTAATCAGTATCATGGTATATATCATGAGTTATATCATTACATTTTATACCACAAAGTTTGGCACTATTTAGACAGCGTATGTCTAGCCAATATATATATATTTTTTAAATTAGCCGAGGAATCTGATGATTTGGCGTCAGTGTGTTGGTGAGACAGAAGGGTGTTGTTGAAATCTGGCACACTGAACCCTTGGCAAACACCTTATCTGCAGTGTGCGCCTTACACTGGGTGTAGCGAGAGTAAAAATAAGTCAAAATAAGTCGTCCTGCAAAATAACAGGCTGCTACACTGAACTGAGCTGCTCATTTAATGAGAACAGTGTCTGATTTACAGTTCACAGTCACTAAAATGAAATGACAGAAGCTGCATTCACAAGAAGGTGCTGCTTAGGTCATAATTTTATATATCAGGTTTTTACTAGTAGACATCTAGTCCTGTTTTGAGAATCCTCTACAAGCTACTTTGAGCACTTATATAGACTACTGAGTAGCGTTGGGTGTCGAGGACCAGTTCCAGTTTAGAACCGGTTCAGAATTTCCAAGAACCGTAGATTCAATAAGACACGCACATTTCAATTCCGCTTGTTTTAATGTGATTTTAAACCATTCAAGCTCAAGAGGATGCAAAAGAGAACTCAATTCGGCACTCGTACACACATCCAACGCATGAACACAGAAAGCTGTCTCTCATATATTGCGCGAATACGGAGTTGAGATCTCTTTCACGTCTTCTTGAACGGACAAATACACACAAATTTATGTTAAAATTTCCCGGTCTTAAGTGAACATAAACAGTTGAGAAAGAAAGCGCATGCATGTCAGTATATTGGAACAGTGCATTAGGTCTTAAAGTGACAGCAGCCTAATATTCCTGTTTCTGTCTGTGCCATTAAATGTTAATCAAAGAGCAAAAGAAAAAGAAAATCACTCACTGATCTTAGCTGAATAACTTTTGTAACTTTAATAAGGATTAATCTATATTTTAATTATAAAAAGAAAACCATGCAGAGTCATTTTACATTTGATTACATTTCATTTCTATTACTGTACCTGAACTTTGTTCGGTTGTTTTTATTTGTGTTATTACTAATTCTTTTTTTGTTCTTATTTTATTACTGACTATTTTCATGTCTTTAATAATGTTTGAAATCTATATTAGTTTGTCTAGATCAGTGGTGTAGCATTCGCATGTATTCTATTTACAACATGTTTTTACGGCGTTAAATAATGTAGCCAATCACAGACATATCTGTTGATTTCTTGAATGCAACAGCCTACAGGCCTTTAAGCTAGAATCTACTCAACACTCAAAACACTGAGTCGTTGACCAGTACCGAGTTCTGCGAGCTAGAAAGTGAAGATGTAGATGTAAATAAGAGATTCACTGATTTTTGTGAGATCGCGATATTTTTCTATTGCCTAATCCATTCAGAATTTGTATTAAACTGTTGTTTTCCACCTACACACTGCATAGATTTGACAGTGTAACCATAGCAATGGACAGAACAAATATATGTGTGAGCACCCTCAGCCTTTCAGTCAATAATTCCCCTGCTGATATACAGTAATACCCTTCCTAAATTATAAAATCAGCTATATTTTTACATAAAGACCCACTTATACTGTTTGAGAACAATTATTAAGTATAATAAGTATATATAAAAATTAAATAATTGGCTTTTATACTATAAAGTCAAAGTAAATTTAAGAAAATATTACCAGGGAATATTTATTTCATATTAAGCTTTTTTTCTACACACTTGCATAAAATGAAACATTAAATTCAGATTTATCTGTAAAGCACTTTTCACAAAGAATATCATTTCAAAGCAACATGGTGAAATTATAGTCACATAGAACTACTGTAAGGCCAGTGTTGCCAAGTCTGTGGTTTTCCCGCGCAATTGTACTGCTTTAACACTGTTGCCGCGAGTTGTTTTTCACGTCTGCAGGTTGAAGTGACCCTAATAACTGTGATATTTAGCCACTGGAACGCGATTTTTACCAGGGGAACCCTATCAAAACCATGATTTTTACATGTATTTCCCCCCTGATTGGGCTAGTTTTGAGTAGCAATTGGGCAGGTTTTGTTGTGAGAACCTGGCAACCCTGTGTCAGACCTGGAACTACCTCAGCCACGCAGTAGACAACTTGAAAAATAATCTGTCAACCAATTACACAGTACAGTGTATTTATTTAAATTACTAATTAACCAACAAAACAACAACATTCGTTCATTCATTTAGCTAGTTATTTGGTGCTGGGTGTGACTGGGTAAGAGTAAACCACTTTTTCTTTTAGGACAACACCACTGGTCTAGATGTTTTTGCTGCGGTATCTTTGGCAAAAGTTCATCGTGTTCAAGTGTTCTTCAGGCTGCTGATTTTTGTTCATTCAGCTGCAACAAAATGTTTTGCAAAAAGACAGAATAAATATGTTTGATATCTAAATGTTTGACTTGGAATCGTTCAGAATCGCTAAACACCCAACCCTGCTACCGAGCCTTTACTAAACACAATCTCTGCCATACTTGAGCTCTCCATACACTCCATTCCTGCAGACAGCTTTTACGGAAGACCTTTTTCATGGCGATAAATCAACCCTGAGATAAGCGGGGCTTAGTCTGCGAGAAGCCATCTGGAGGCATCAAAAAATATTATTTCAACTTCATAAAGCTGAAAATGCGCGTGAATTAGATTTTCCCAAGTCTCAGACAGATCTAGAACACATTGAGTGGAGTTTCTTCACCTGGACAGGTTTTCTCTAGAGACATTGGACTCGTAAGCCTGGCTCCGCAGGGGGCTGAAGTCCGAGTACTCGTCCTCAGTCCGGTCCAGGCTGGACTCAGCGGACGCTGGCCTGCACATCTGTCTCTGGTAGTACGTGTGGATGCTGTCCCGCGATGGATTGTTCCCCTGCAGGGCAGCAGACGAGGGGTTAAACCTCAAGGTTTACAGTGCTGTCCGTTCCAAGCATGATGCTCATTATTCATGTGTATTCATGTGTAATTACAGCTTATTTTAACATTATTTATATACTATTATTACATGCTTGATTCCGATTGGTCAGTCGTGGCATTCTGAGGTCAGATATTCACAAACGCAGCTGCCGCCATCTTACGTCTCAGTTATCGACTGTATTTACTTTCAAATTAAACCTTCAGTATTAATAGTAGGTCTGCGGTAATACTGTTGAAGTGTTCGTCTTGTTGTCAGAACAATTGTTTTGTACACAGTGCTAGATTATAAAATAAATAGGTACGATTTTATAATGGTTGCTTCTCATTTCGTGTCTGTGTCATTATTTATGTGGTGAAAAGCTGTGTAAACTTTGCGTTTAAAGAGCTACTACAATATTTCAACACTCAACATTCAACATAAATCAACATTTTTTGTCTATTTATTTATGTGTGGCAAATAGCCTTGTAATAAGTTGGATAATGTAAATCCAGCTGGTTGTCATTGCAAAATAATTTATTTTTGCAATAACTGGCTGGATTTACATGATCCCTTACTTATAGTACTTAATAATATATTTAATTAGCTTTTATTTTTATTTTTCATTTTAATTTTAGAGTTGTAGTAATTTTGTTATGTGCTTTTGTCATTATTAGTTCTTATTGTTTTTAAATATTTCTTTTTACCTTTATATTTATTTCAGTTTTAGTTTTAGTAATTAAGACTTATTACTTCAATTTATTTATTACAGTAAGTTGCCAAGGCAACATATCTAGCTTTCAGGGTTTTTTTTTATATCTAATATTTATATGTTATTTTATTATTTTATTCTATTTCAGCTTCAACTGAATTACAGACAATTATTTGTAATACTTTTAGTCTCAGTTTTAGTTAAGGATAAGAACACTGCTTTATAAAAAGTTTCCAAAGTATGGATATATCTGACCATTTTCACAACTCTACTGAATGAGAAGTTAAAGAAAAAAAGATGGATTTCATAAAGACCAATTTGTAGCCAATTACATATTTTAAAGCTGTATACTGTATTGTCAGAAAGGTGCATTCATTATAAAATTGTTACGGTTACATTTTAATACATATTTCTATAACATTTTTTATTAGAACATTTAATCACATTAGATTTTCATTATTTTTCCAGTAATGAAATCACAGTTTTTGTATATTATAATATTTTAGGTTTTGCATGTATTATTATTATTTTTTTAAATGCATATGAACACTATCGGCATTATAAAAAACATAAATAGAAAAAAGAAATAAAGATCATTATTTGTCATGTGCACCCAATAACTAAAGATATAATACAAATGCAGACGCAGGCCACTCTCCAGCACTCTAGTGTGTGATTTCTCGTGCCAGCACTACCTTTTTGACCTCATTAGTGAGCATGCAGCGCTCAATGCGCAGGACGGTGGAGATATCGATGTGCTCCTGGCAGATAGAGTTAAGCCAGGCTGTGAAACTGTCCAGCAGGGCCAGGAAGAGCACCCAGGAGAACTTCACGATGTTAAACACTCGCTTCAGGATGTTATCTAGAGCAGAGAGATATGCATATTGATGCATATGACGATTGTAAATCATAATAAGAGGAGTATTTGAAGTGTGGTCTCACCTGGTCCTTCAGATACCTCCTCCTCTGTAACACCGTCCTCCTGATCTCCTTCCTCAATGGCCACATGCACTGAAAATAATGAATTACAGTGTTATTAGAACGTAATTGCAAATTACAGTGTTATTACAATGTAATAAGCAGATAATAACCGTTAACACTGATTTGTCACACCAACGTATCACTTTTTCAGTTTCAGATACATTTTCAAAATGTGAGTGTGCTGGGCAAGCTATTTTTTAAAATATATTAACTGAATGTTTTATTGGCTCTAGCTGGCTCCTGAATCTGGCGAGAGGCTTGAAACCCTGTCCAGCCATCATGTGGGATGAATTGACCGTAGCAAATGTAACACGGCCCTCTTCATCTCTCAGACCCAAGAATGCCGGGGCCTGGATGCCGGCCACCAGGAGGGAGCTGGCAGAGCGAGCCTTCATTTACAAACTGCAGCAGAGGGGTTTAATGAGGCGCTTGTGTTTACAAAATGACTATTAATGACCCGAGCATGTCATTCTGAGAAACAGAGAACTACAGAGCGTCGAAACCAGGGCTGGACATCCATCTGTCCATCCATCTATCTGTCCATCCATCTATCTGTCCGTCCATCTATCTATCTATCTATCTGTCATCCATCCATCTGTCTGTCCATCTATCTGTCCATCCATCTATCTGTCCATCCATCCATCTGTCGTCCATCTATCTATCTATCTGTTGTCCATCTATCTATCCATCCATCCATCTGTCGTCCATCTATCTAGCTATCTGTTGTCCATCTATCTATCCATCCATCTATCTGTCGTCCATCTCTCTGTCCATCCATCCATCTGTCCGTCCATCTATCTGTCGTCCATCTATCTATCTATCTGTCGTCCATCCATCTGTCGTCCATCCATCTATCTATCTGTCGTCCATCTCTCTGTCCATCCATCTATCTATCTATCTGTCGTCCATCCATCTGTCGTCCATCTATCTATCTATCTGTTGTCCATCTATCTATCCATCCATCTATCTGTCGTCCATCTATCCATCTATCCATCCATCCATCTGTCCGTCCATCTATCTGTCGTCCATCTATCTATCTATCTGTCGTCCATCCATCTGTCTGTCCATCTATCTGTCCATCCATCTATCTGTCCGTCCATCTATCTGTCCATCCATCCATCTGTCGTCTATCTATCTATCTATCTATCTATCTATCCATCCGTCCATCCATCCATCCATCCATCCATCCATCTATCTGTCGTCCATCTATCTGTCCATCCATCCATTTGTCCGTCCATCTATCTATCTATCTGTCGTCCATCCATCCATCCATCCATCCATCTATCTGTCCGTCCATCTATCTGTCTATCCATCTATCTGTCGTCCATCTATCTGTCCATCCATCCATCTGTCCATCCATCTATCTGTCCGTCTATCTATCTATCTATCTATCTGTCGTCCATCAATCTGTCCATCATCCATCCATCCATCCATCCATCCATCCATCCATCTATCTGTCCGTCCATCTATCTATCTATCTATCTATCTATCTATCTATCTATCCTCATGAGTGCAGAGGAAGAGTATGATTGCTTTAAATCAGATGTATAATCGTACCTTGCTTCTGGTTCTTCTTGCTTGTTCTGCCCTCCGTGTACCTTTGCCAGAATCGCCGTCTTTCCTTACTTTGCTCTTTCATGGCAGTTTTCGAGTCAGTTATCCAGGCATGATACACAAACTGAGAAGCAGAGGATCACGTTAGACAAAGATATGGACAATGCAGGAATCCAAGTAGGATAGTGAGCTGCTTTTGGGTTGGGTGTTTATATGCCATGTCTAATTTATTTCGAACTACAGTGGTAATTTGAATCAGTCTTTGAACCCAATTTAAGTGCCCCTCTAGTGAAAAACAAAGAGTCTTATACACATGCAGGGTATAAACTTGCACTCTGTTCCAGTCTTTTAGCAGAGCCAGCAAAACAGACTGTTTTAGGAAAAGCGTCACTTCAGATATTCCTGTCAATCAAAGACACCAACACAATACACAAGACAGGAAACCAGCTTTAGGGGATGTTTTGCTCCAAAGGACAGACATTCTGATTGTGGTGTCAGGTCTCGTCCAAAGAAAGAATGATTACACTGTTCACAAAGGAGAAAAACACAGCCTTTGTTTAACTGGCACAACCAAACCCAAGAAAACCTCCCAGAAAAAATGTCTGCAACTCACATGCATCAAGAGCTGGATGATAAAGCTAAGAATATTATATCTTCATATTTTCAGCTGTTTGATGAAACTTTATTCCTATCTGTCTGTTTGCCTATCTGTCTATGTATGTATGCATGTATGTATGCATGTATGTATGTATGTATGTATGTATGTATGTATGTATGTATGCATGTATGTATGTATGTATGTATGTATGTATGCATGTATGTATGTATGTATGTATGCATGTATGTATGCATGTATGTATGCATGTTTGTATGTATGTATGTATGCATGCATGTATGTATGCATGTATGTATGTATGTATGTATGTATGCATGTATGTATGTATGTATGCATGTATGTATGCATGCATGTATCTATCTATCTATCTATGTCTATGTAAGTTATTGATATGAACTGTACTTTAGAAAGTTTTAGAAATTAATCAAACTTACCAATTCTAACAACTTTTTTTCTACTAGAGTTTAAATCAGCTATTAAAACATGTTCACACTTTCATACTAGGCAGGTAAAACTAATTTCATATTTCCAGCAACATTACCTCATGCATTTTTAATCACCCAGCCCTGCATGCTCCTGCAATCGACTGCATAATACACTGCATTTCCTTGGCATGCAATGCACCGTATCCGCTCTGTTTACACAGCAGCCAGATGATTGACGTGCAACTGTAATAATCAGCCATGTCGGCTCTATTAGCTCCCATTTACAAGTTAGAGAAATAAATACATGTATATTGTGCAACTGGGGAGCAGGAAAATGCAGTGGAGCACCATAGCCGTCGGTGCTCGTAGAGGACAGAGCTGACACATACTACAGCATACAAGAAGAGAGGAGATATATCAGGCATTGTGAAGTACCTTGGCTGCCCTGATTACATACTGCAGTACAGTTTTGGGCAGTTTAATGACAGACTTTGGTAAAGCCAGCAAAGCAGAGGCAAACTTTCGGATAGCTCTCTACAAGAAATGACAGAGCAGGGATGGGTTAGTCAGGGTCTGCGCTAGTGCTATTACTGCTCTTCCACGCAGGAAGCCAGCAGTTAGCGGTCTGGTAAATAACGAAACATTGTTAAGTGCTGAGGGAACAAAAGAAGAAAACATTGAAACATTTTCGTAACACAGAGCCATTTAGGTTAAACACGGTTGTGTGTGGGAACAACACAATTCAGCACAGTTATACGACTTAAAAATGGGTGCGCATGCAGAAAAGCACTTAAGTTTCTAGAATATTTACCTGGAACGCTGATCTTTTGGGAGGTTCCTCATCAGATCTTCAGAAATCATTCTAATATGCTGATTTGCTGCTCAAGAAACATTTCTGATTATTATCAATGTTGAAAACAGTTGCGCTGCACAATATTTTTGTGGAAACCGTGATGCATTTTATTTTTCAGGATTTACAGATGAATAGAAAGTGCAAAAGACCAGCATTCATGTGAGACACAAATCTTTTATAACATTATAAATGTCTTTACTCTCACTTTTGATCAATTGAATGCGTCCTTGCTGAATAAAAGTATTAATTTCTTTCAAAAAAAGAAAAGAAATATCACTGGTACTTTGGGCCTGAGATGGGAAAACATGCTATTTTTAAGTTCTAAATGCTCTTATGTAAATATACCTTCATCATCGTCCTCTTCCTCTTTGACGACTGAGTGGCGTTCCCCACTTTCCTGAGCCAGAGACAGCATCCTCTCTTTACCTCTCTTAAACTTCTGCTGTCGGCTTTTGATGCGGTCCATCCTGAGAGAAACAGACAGAGGGAAATGCTTTGCTCGTTTGCTTGAGCTGACCTAATTTAGCTGTTCCCTTGAACACAATTAGAGTCTAATTGAGGATAAAGAGTCTTCATGTCGGGGCTGGTGTGGGTTTGCAGGAAGCACAGAAAACAGCCTGGACTTTGGCAAGCCTGAGATATCCTGCAGATGTGACGGTTACAACTCTACCGCTCTTCTGAAAAAACACTGGTTAACCAGCGGCTCTCAGGTGCTAAACACGCTGGATAAATGATAGGAAACTCTGTGACGGAGACAGATAGCTATTTGTCTCATTTGTGTGTGTTCATGCATCAATCAGCGCATGATTTCATAGGACTGCGTGAAAAGGGAATGCAGCAGTTGGCAGCGAACAATGAAGCATTGTGAGTCTCACACTGAACTCACTGTCTCTTCAGCAGATCCATGGACTTCTTCTCTTCTTCTATTCTGGCTTTAACCACCTTCACAATGGTCGCCTGAAACAACTCCGCTCCTCTGACAGACAAACAAAGAGGAACAGAGACACGAAACGCAGTCTGAATACGTCAAATGTACTCTTTGTAGTGCTTTTTTTATCTACATATTTATTTATCATTTCGTTTGATTCAGAAAGCTGTCATGGTGTCTTTTATTGTGTGACAATTGAGAAGATATTTCTTAGAAATTAAGTTAAAAATAACCAATAACATAATATTAGATGCAGGGTTATTATAGGTAACTAAAACTAAAACTGTGACTAAAATTAAAACCGAATGAATAAATAAATAAAATACTTGAAATAAAATAAACATTAACTGAAAAAAATATAAAAAATGTTTTATTTCAGCTACAACATTTCTCATTGTAATATTGTTTAACTTTTAGTACTAAAATAACAAAAAAATTAATAAAAAAATATATAGAGACAAAAAAACTATAAAAAGATAAAAACACAACAAAATTACTAAAACATAAATTAAATTAAATTAAATTAAAAACTATAATAGTAAATCAAAGGTACTAAAACAACGCTGGTTAGATGATTACATGCAGGCAAACATTAAAAGCGAATGTAAAGCAGCCAGCAGTAACCCAGAGCATGTGTGTGTACCTGGAGGCGAGGACCTGCGAGGAACGGATGTCGGCTACGACGTGTAGGAAGTAGTAGCTCATGAAAACTCGCCTCTGCAGCAGGAGAAAGGCGAAGCAGATGCTGTCCCAGATGATCCCGGCCTCGTCACTCGGCAGCTCGCACTGTTTATTTGCGTTCTGCTCCGCTGCGTGAGAATCATCAGAATCTAATCAAGCTCTGCTGGACACTACAATATTACATTATTGCTCATTAAAATGAGTTAACTATTAATGCTCATAAAGCTTTTCAGTCATTTTTTACCCATTCTATTAGTGGCTTTTTATAAAAATGGTTTTCTCAATCTGAGCGGTGCAAAACTTTTCTGTAGATATCTAATTTGAACATACAAAAAAAAACAAAATATACTTTATTCATCGAGTCTAAGTGAACAGTTCACCCAAAAAATCAGGCCATCAGAGATTACGTCTTAATGCTGGATGTGTTTCAGCTTTTGTCTTCTCCAGATGTTAACTGATGGACTGGAGTGCTGTGGATTACTTGTGGATTATTGTGATGTTTTTATCAGACTCTCATTCTGACGGCACCCATTCACTGCAGAGCATCCATTGCTGAGACACTGATGCAGTGCTACATTTCTACAAATATCCAAACTCATCTGGGATGGCCTGAGGGTGAGGATATTTTCAACAAACTTTCATTTTTGGATGAACTATTCCTTTAAAACTGTTTTTATTTTTTATTACCACAATTAATTGTATATTATAAGACTATTGCATTAAAATTATTTTTAATATAATTATTATTTAAAGTTACACAGTATTATTTTGATTGTTTTATATAATACTATCAGAACCTATTTTACAGGAGAATACAGACAACTGATGATCATGCTAGGTTAATTTTAGCTTAGATAATAGTTAATCAAACACATCTAATAGATCTCAACATGAAAAAGAAAATAAAGGCATAACTTACGTTTTGAATATCCTTTTATAGTGCAAGCCAGACTGAATAACTGGATCAGCCAGCAGTGATTGGCCACCAGCGCTTTAATATATCCACACGCCGCGATCTGAGAGCCGAGAGAACAGAAGCCACCATCACATCCACAACAACCCAAACCATCTCTTTGCTATCTCACATACTGCATGAACCTCTTTAAAAGAGCATACAATTGAGATATTTTCACAGGTGTGCATGTGTGCAGTGTGTAATTATTAGTCGAATCCCACAAACGCTTCACGTCTTTCAAACCCTCTGAATTCAGACCCACAAAAATGCAGAGCACTATAAACAGAATTATGATTTATGTCAGAGACAAAGTTCAAGCTAATTTACAACAGCTTTGAATGAAGTGAACTATGACTGAGTTATAATTGAATTATGAGTGAGGGGATTTATGAGGTACTTACTGAGAGAATGTTTTTCATGGTGATTACGAAGACGTTGTATGCTATGAGGAAGTCCCAGTAATGAAGGATGCTTTTGATTGGCTTCAGTAACAGCTCGCCCCCAAAGATCAAGAAGTAGAAGCAGGCGACCAAGTATCCCATGCAGAAGATGCTGATGCGTGTGGTGCCCGTGATGAAGATGATGGTCAGGACGAACCAGAACAGATAGCTGAACACGATCACCTTCAGCATGTCCAAATACGACCTGAAAATGAAGATTGGAGTCGGTAAAAAGTTCGTTTTTTTTTTAAAGAAATCTATACTTTTGTTCATCAAGCATGCATAAAATTGATCAAAAGTGCAAGTAAAGGCATTTATAATGTTGCAGTAGATTTCTATTTTAAATAAATGCTGTTCTTTTGAACTTTCTGTTCATCTGTGAATCCTGAAAAATAAAATGCATCACAGTTTCCACAAAAATATTGTGCAGCACAACTGTTTTCAACATTGATAATAACCAGAAATGTTTCTTGAGCAAATCAGCATATTAGAATGATTTCTGAAGATCATGTGACGCTGAAGACTGGAGTAATGATGCTGAAAATACAGATTTAATCACAGAAATAAATTACAGTTTAACAGAGACTCACATAGAAAACAGTTATTTGAAATTGTAATAATATTTCTAAATGTTACTGTTTTTACTGTATTTTTAATCAAATAAATGCAGCCTACATGAGCAGAAAAGACTTTCAAACACATAAAAAATCGTATTGATCCCAAACCTTTGAATGGTAGTATATGTATCATTATTAGTATTCACATATATTTACTATCATTTTGATCTAGTCAGACTGTTACGAGAGGAAAATATTGTCTTTGTCATAAAGTTCAAGAACACTGACTGTAAATAATGCAGTGATATGATGATATTTGCTAGGAAAGGCCGTTATGAGACATTTTTGCTAATAACGTTCAACCCCAAACCTTTCTGCATCAAAAGACACCATTTCCTCAGAATTAACCCGTAACACATTAGCAGGTTATTTAGATTTACTGGAATCTACAACTTTAGTAATAAGTATAATGACAAAGAAGTGGAAAAACTGACCGCACAAGTCTAATATATGATCAGAGCAGCAGACAGGCGTCATTAAAATCTCCGAATTCCTTCATCACCATCATCATTTCTAATTGTTTGGACTGGCTGAAGCTGGAGAATCACTATGGTTTTTCTACAGCTGATGAATGACATGCTCAAAGATAAATGAGCCTGATCTAGAAACACTATTCATCGTCTCGTTTTTCTCTACCGTAATAAGCAGAGGAAGCTCAGCTGATCCCGAGACCACAAACTAAGATTGCAGGCTTGAAACATTAGCAATGTAATTACGACTGAAGTGTTTTCTGGGTCAGACAGAGAGAGCAATCAGAGAATAACAGCGTTTTTCTTTGAACTGTTAGTCTGTATCAGCGGTGCTCAACCTTTCTGATTTGAAGCCCCTTCACTGTCCAACACAACATTTGAAAACACCACCATATAGGCTAAGATGTTTTCTCCGGTGTTTATGATAATTATGTAATTCTGCTGCTTGGTTTCAAACTGTTTTTTATTAACAGAAACTGTGAGTGTTGAAATAACCACTGGTCTATGTGATGCTGAGGGGAAAACAACAGGAATACAGATCATTCATGCTATTTCTGTTTTAAAATGGACCTTCAAAAGAAGTATTTCAAATGAACAAAGAGTGACATGAATGGGTCGATATAAAAATTCGCGAAATAATAATCGCAATAAGCTTTATGCTTTGTTACTTTTAATATGAAACAAAGTCTCAGCTTCCAAATTCTGCCAATTTTATCACCAAATTCAAACAATAAATGTGGTTTAAATGTGAGGTGACAGATCGCTGTAGCCTCACATGAACTGATCATCTCTTCCTCTTTACTACTAATTATAGCACCAAAATAAACATGAATGAACATCACACAGTGTTAAAAAATACAGTCTCATGTAACTGACCAATCAGTGTTTCAACTGCATGTCACATAACATCACATTTACCTCAGAAAAGACATTCAATGTCCAAAAAAAAACAACCTCTAGATAGAAGCGTGTTGACAAATATGTGCACTATATAGCATATTCATTATAATTACACTTAACCTGTTGTGTTCATTATTTAATGCATGTTTGAATAAATCTATCATAAAAACAAGTTATTTCAGCCACCATTTAAATGTGCATATTTCAACAAATAATTGGAGTAGAAGCCTAACTCTGCTATTAAAAAGTTGACATAAAAAGTGCCTTATGAGCAACTTAAATGTTTGTACATCTTTGAGTGTTGATTATTAAATCTGTTTGATTAATTAACTGATTATTAAATAAAATTACATGTTTCAGGTTTGGTTTCAGTTTTTGGCTAAATGAAAACTTTAAAAAAATAACAAAAAAATTAAATAGCAATTTAATTAATTCAGTCATTTATTAATTTATTTATACTAATTCTATTAATTTTGAAAAAAAAAAATGTTGCAATAATATTAATACAGTTATACAAGAAAACTACTTTAAGTTAAAAAAGGTCATTTTTGATTTTGGTTATGGTTTTCAGCCAAGTGCATCCAGAATTTTAATTTCCGTTTTGGCCCAGAATTTTCATTTTGGTGCATCACTAATACTAAATATGCATATGGAAATAAATTTCTTCTAGTCAGTGCTGTTTGTGTCAGATGTTTACCTGCAGTGGATGAAGTCGGGCACAGGGTTGTGCTGGCTGAAGCTGGCGGCATCCAGGTCTCGACAGATCTCCACATTATCACCCGCCAACAGCTGCACGGCTGCCACATTCTCCTCCTCAAACACACGGCCCTGAATCGATGCGCACAGCAGCAACATGAAGTCATCTGCAGAGAGAGAGAGAAAAGATCGGGCAACGTGATGAGAGAGCGTTAAAGCAGAGCTGGGGAGCGTTAACACAGATTCAACATTACTCACAGAGGAGGAAGAGGGAGTTGGGTTTGGTGTGGAAGTCTGGGAAGTAAAGCCACTTGATGACGTTTGAGTCCATGCTGGAAGACGGCCGTCTCCACGGATAGTCTGAACCAAAGGAGAGATATTGGTGAAATTCAGAAAAACAGTCAAGGGCTGTCTTGAAGACAACCAAGAGTGGAATTGCCGTTTTCTTAAAGGAATAGTTCGTCCAAAAATTTGAAATTACCTGAAAATCTACTCATCCTCAGGTCATCCCAGATGTAGATGAGTTTGTTTCTTCATCAGGTTTGGAGAAATGTAGCATTGCATCAGTGTCTCAGCAATGGATGCTCTGCAGTGAACGGGTGCCGTCAGAATGAGAGTCCAAACAGCTGATAAAAACATCACAATAATCCACAAGTAATTCACACCACTCCAGTCCATCAGTTAACATCTGGAGAAGACAAAAGCTGAAACAAATAAGATGTTTTTAACTAAATTATGAGTCCATAATCCATATAACTCTTCCTCCAGTGAAAAAGTGCATCTGCTGTTGTCTCTCACATCAAAATCCAGCCACATATTTGTTTAGAGCTGTTTAAACGCTGCTTGATCTGTGCAGATTTCTCTCCTGATTCACACCAGAACACCTTTTCACTGGAGGAACAGTTATTATGGATTATATGGACTTTTAGTTAAAAGCGTCTTAATGCTGGATTTGTTTCAGCTTTTGTCTTCTCCAGATGTTAACTGATGGACTGGAGTGCTGTGGATTACTTGTGGATTATTGTGATGTTTTTATCAGCTGTTTGGACTCTCATTCTGACGGCACCCATTCACTGCAGAGCATCCATTGCTGAGACACTGATGCAATGCTACATTTCTCCAAATCTGATGAAGAAACAAACTAATCTACATCTGGGATGACTTGAGGATGAGCGCATTTTCATTATTGTGTGAACTGTCTCTTTAAGCAGACACCTGTGTGACTCACCTGTGCAGGCCGCAGGAGGGATGCCGATGCACATCAGGTACTGGAAGGCTAACATGCAGGCCAGAAAGAAGCAATACTTGGACCAGACGCGGGCGATGGCTTTTCTCCTGCTCTGATACATCACCACAATCAGACCGAACGCGTGCAGCATGGCATAGAAATCCATCCGCTGGCCGATCACATTCACCGCTAACAGAAAACAGGTCTGGAGGAGCAACATTCAGCCACGGGTTTCAAATTAGGACAATAATGGGTGCATTTGATAGCATCACTATACACAAATTAAAATTCAATATCCATCACGTAACCCAGATCCATTACCGTATCACTCTATTGTGGTTTATCTGTCTCAACAGTGTGTTAGCAATCTGAGCTTCAGATGATAATCTATTAGAGACCGTCTCACAATTAGAGTTTAACAGAGACTCACATAGAAAACAGCTGTTTGAATTTGCAATAATATTTCATAATTTTTACTGTATTTTTGATCAAATAAATGGAAAGCAGAAGAGACTTCCTTAAAAAACATCATTAACGAAACTCATACTTTTGAATGGTAGTGTATATATTTCTAAAGTGTTTTTGAAAAATCACATACCCTGCCTTTAACAGACATAAAGCTGATATTACCTCAAGACCAAATTTGTAGAAGAAGTAGTTGATGAAATATTTGGCGCAGTTGACGATGCCGTCGTCCAGATGCTGGCGTGTGATGTTGTGAAAGACGGTTCTCGTGACCGGAGGGCTGAGGTTGTTCTTCATCCAGTAGAAATCCTGGTGACGGTAAATGGTCACTTCAAACGCCAAGAGAGCCAGCATCAGTAAGTTATTCTGTGTGCGGAAAATACACAAATAAAGGGATAAGGACAATATTGAGGTGTATGCAGGGTCCGAAATTAACAGCCACAAGAGACAAATGCAAGCATAAATCGGCATAATGTACATTTGCCCATGTTGCCAGTGGCTGCTAACTTTATTAGGAGCTGCTGGATAAAATCTTGATTAAATGTTATTTAGAGAACGATACTCCGACCCTTACGGTACAGTCACTTTAGCTAAATTCTGGTGAAATCTTGCAGGCAAAAAAGGTAAATGATCTATTGTCAATAGTTTAGTAATGTATGAAGCACAGCTCACACAGAAATTATTTTCCAACCGAGCAGCTTTTATAGTTATTACAGTAAAAATTAAAACTAAAACCACAATAATAATAATAACAAATAAAATAAACCTTAACTGAATAAAATAAAATATAACAACCTTTTATTTTAGCTAGTTGCAAAGCAACATTTCACATTTTAATTAAGTCTGCCTTGATGTACTAAAATAAGTAAAACTAAAACTGAAATAAAAATGAATAAAAACTATACAGACATATATATTTTTTTTAACTAAAACTAAAATGAAAATGGGTAATAATAAAATAAAAAAGCTGCTTCAAAATATTAACAAAACCTATAATTGTATATGAACCCTCATGTAAAATTCATGATCGCATGGATCAGCGCTATTGTAGTATCACTGATATACTATTATAGTTTTTTATTAATTTAATATTTTATTCATAATGTTTCTGTTTTAATTTGAATTTTAAAGTGTTATAATTTTTTTAGTAGCTTTTTCATAAATACATGTCTATATTGTTTTTATTATGTTTTATTTCAGTTTCAGTTTTAGTTATTTTAGTACATCAAGTTAAACAATTAAAATGAGAAATGTTGCCTTGGCAACTAGCTGTATATATATATAAACTAACTATATTATATCAGTAGCTTTTATTTTATGTCAATTAAAAAAAATTTTGTTTCAATGGTTTTTATTCTTGTTTCAAATTCAAATTTTAGTTTTAGTTAACTATAATAATTTTGGTGGCATCACGTGGAATTATTACAAGCCACCAAAATGGTCTTATTTACATTTTTGTGTGTAGTTTTACTGAAAATAATCATAAAAAAGTCTAAATAATCCCACTGTCCTAGGGATAGAATATATTCTGATTAATAATAAAAGCAACATCAATGAGAATATTTTCTCCGATCACCCAGCACTGTCAGATCACTGTGTTTAGACGCTGAGCACGTGTGTTCGTACCCTCAGATTCTCCAGCAGCGGAGAGAACTTCCTGAAGCCGATCCAGTTAGCCGGATCCACCGGGCCACTGTAGAGCAGAGATCTGGCCATGTCTGAGCGCTGAGCGTCCGTGTAGTTCTCCGGCTGGAGGAGAGAAGCACAGACTCGGTCAGAACCAGAGCGTCTGTGTGTGTCCCGAGTGAGCGAGTGAGGACTCACCATACTGCAGCTCCTGGAGTACGAGGACGGGTTGATGGAGGTCAGCTGGTACAGCATCTTACAGACCACGATGACGCAGGTCCAGACGGTGCAGACGCTAGACGCCAGCGGTCTGAACTGACTGAAGGGCAGAGCGAAGGCCCAGCTCACCAGGAACACGTAGTTAAACAGAGACACCTGACAGAGACACAGACATGTGGATGAGGAGCATGCAAACCAGCTGATCTGAGATGCTCTAGCGGCTTGAACAATGTGGTCATCTAGGTTTTCACATTTGTGACCCTGGAGCACAAAAGCAGTCTTAAGTCGCTGGGAATACATTGTATGGGTCAAAATTATTGATTTTTTTAATGCTAAAAATCATTAGGATATTAAGTAAAGATCATGTTCCATGAAGATATTTTGTAAATTCCCTACCGTAATGTATAAATCTCAATTTTGAAAAATTGACCCTTATGACTGGTTTTGTGCTCCAGCGTCACATTTTTGGAAATGTTTAGAGAGAGAAAAGTGTTAAAAAATAAACTAAAATTGATAAATAAAAATAAAGAAATAAAAAATAAGATAAAATTGATTAAAATTAAAGCATTATTAGATTCAAACAAAAATAAATAATAAATCAATCAATCAAATAATAAATAATAAATGAGTAAATAAATAAAAAGCAACTGAAAACAAACAAACAGAAGCTAAATAACTGAAGCTAAATATTTTCTAAATACTATTTTAGACACATTTATAATTTTTCACAGTAAAAAATGGTCTTTAAATAAGAAACAATATACAGTAGATGCCATTTAAATTTCAGTGGCAGCGTTATTTTACTATCATTGAGATACTATTATAATTTTTTTTTTAATATTTTGAATTAGATTTTTTATTTTTTACATTTTCTGCTTTCATGTTAATTTTAATTAAAGTTTTAGTAAATGTATTGTGTGTTTTGTCATTTTTAGTAGTTTATATATATATATATATATATATATATATATGTCTAGTGTTTATTAATTTTATTTCAGTTTTAGTTTTAGTTAATTTAGTACATCAAGTTAAACTAAATGGAAATGAGAAATGGCGCCTTGAAAACTAGCTGAAATACAGTAAGTTAAAGATTTTTTATATCATGTTTTATCTCAAATAACATTTAATATATTTCAAGTAATGAAAATGTTTTTTATGGTTTTTGTTTTAGTTAACTATAATAACTTGCTTGAGGATGATTATTTGTGGGTCTGTGGCGTTTAAAAGCCTGAAAAACGCTGCCTGTAGTCCATGTACAGTAGGTCAGGTGAGCACACAGAGCGCTCTGCTTTAGCTGGCCTGTCCATGAGCGATCACGAAGCTGTGATTGTTCCTCACCTCTCTGACTGAGAGCCAGATGATGTAGGACGAGACGATCTTGATGATGTGAAGCTCCAGCAGCCACCAGATGAAGAGCTGCAGCTTCTGAACGTACTCCAGGAACTTCAGGAACAGCACCGTCAGACGCTCCACCACCAGATGCCACTTATTCTTCAGCTCTTCACACGAGAACAACACATGCATCACTCACAAACACTTACCAAGACAATGCCATAAGAGTTCTGGAAGTTCTTTAACTGGACATTAAATATTCAGGAATGACTCTAACTCAGATTAAGATTCAAAAGTGCTACTCTGAAGAACACATCAGTGCTGTTTTTAAAGGGGTCATAAGATGCCCATTTTCCACAAGTTGATATGATTCTTTAGGGTCTTAATGAAACGTCTGTAACATAGTTTGGTTAAAATTTCTCAATGGTAGTGTAAAAAACACCTTTTTTACCCTGTCAAAAACAGCTCTTTCCAGCTCAAGCCGTTTTGTAGCATTTTCCTTTAAATGTTAATGAGCTCTGCTGACCCCGCCCCTTTCTTCTGAGCTGCTCTCAGAGAGACTGTTTACTTTAGCCGCATCGTGAAACTTGCTAATTAGCACATTATTAGGAAAGGCGATTTGCAAAGATTCATTACAAAGACCTTATACTCGCTTCTTCTGTAGGTGAAACTGGATCACGAATGATTTGCGCGAATATAGACGCATTTATGTAGATCGGGGGCGCATTCCCTTCAGAAACAAACATAATCCACTGCGCCTTCAGCGGCTCAGATGCCGGGAGTAAACGACAAATCCAACAACAAAACACCTCAATAGCTTAGGAGTCATTCTTGTCTACATCTGCTCCGGCGTATTTTTTACAGTAAAATTCCAGCAACCACAGCTGCCGTTTTTTTTACCGTAAATTTTACGGAATTTTTTTACAGGGTAGATTAAAAAAAAAACACTGGGTGGATTTTTATCATTATAGGGTGGTTGTGTACACACACTGCCAACACACATTTCAGTTCAAACAACTTGTAAAAGTGCATGTAGCATCCTATGACCCCTTTAACTAAAACTATTTGTATTATTTTCGTTAACTGAAATAAAATAAAATACACATAAATATTAGATGAAAAACAAAAAGTGCATAACAAAATTACTGAAACTTAAGCTAACATTAAAATCAAAACTGAAAATATAAAAATAAAAGCTTATTCAAAATATTAATAAATATTATATTAGTCTTGAAATAATACTAAAATAACTTAATAATGCAAACAAAAAGAGGCTCCGCAACCTGAAAATGATGCACCTATATTGTTAAAAAATCTGTTAAAAATAAATTTAATAATCTCATTTAATAATCCAAACAAAAAGAAACTATGCAATCTGAAAAAGATGCACCTGTATTAATAGTAAGTTAAAATAAGTTAAAACCTGAACAAAATTAGAAATGCTGCCTTGACAACAAATTGAAATAAAATAAGTTGAAGTTGAAGTACTAAAATTACTAAACATCTATGCTGAATATAACAAAAAAAGACAAAAAAGCACATAAAATGACAATATTTTTAATAAAATTAAAATGAAAACAAAAGAATAAAATAAAAGCTAATTCAAATTAATAAATAATAATAGTACAGAAATAATACTAAAACAGTTTAATAATCTGAACAAAAATAAGCTCCACAACCTGAAAAAGATGCACCTATATTGTTAAAAATAAGTTAAAACTTGAACGAAATTAGAAATGTTGCCTTGGTAAGTAACTGAAATAAAGTCAGTTTAAGTTGAATACTAAAATAATGCTAACACTTTACAATAAGGTGCCATTAGTTAATAAAAAAAGACAAAAAAGCACATAAAATGACAAAATTTTTAATAAAATTAAAATGAAAACAAAAGAATAAAATAAAAGCTAATTCAAATTAATAAATAATAATAGTACAGAAATAATACTAAAACAGTTTAATAATCTGAACAAAAATAAGCTCCACAACCTGAAAAAGATGCACCTATATTGTTAAAAATAAGTTAAAACTTGAACGAAATTAGAAATGTTGCCTTGGTAAGTAACTGAAATAAAGTCAGTTTAAGTTGAATACTAAAACACTTTACAATAAGGTGCCATTAGTTAATGTTAATATATTAACTAACATGAACAAACAATGAACAATACATTTATTACAGTATTTGTTAATCTTTGTTAATGTGAGTTAATGAAAATACAGTCGTTCATTATTAGTTCATGTTAACTCACAGTGCATTAACTAATGTTAACAAGCACAGCTTTTGATTTTAATAATGCATTAGTAAATGTTGAAATTAACATTAACTAAGATTAATAAATGCTGTAGAAGTATTGGTCATGCTTAGTTCATGTTAACTAAATAAAATGAAATAAAAACATTATAAAGCTAAATAGAATATAAAAACTTTACAAAAATGACTAAAATTACTAAAACTGAAAATGAAAGCTAACTCAAAATCTTAATAAATATTAAACTAGTACTGAAATAATGCTAAAATAACACTGGTCTGACAGTAACACACATGTGCAGAAAACACATCAGCTGATTCTGTGCAGAGCAACACTTACAGAGCCGTTTGTCAACATTACGACGCTCACACAGCCGATAATGCGTAAAATATCTCAAATCTCAAAACAGTCATAAAACACAGCCACCCTCCGATGAATCACAGCGACATGTTTATGAAATACATAAAGCAACAGTTTAGGAAAGCAAAGTTTGACTCGCAGCTGTTCTGTGGTGCGCAATAAATACGGTGTAAAACTCACTTAATAACGCTAACAAGAAGCTACACAACCTGTACTGTTACAAATAGTTAATAAGCCCTCAAATCTCTATCTCAGAGAAACGCTTGGAAATCAAATGCACTGAAGACTTTAAAGGTGACATATTATGCCCCTTTTTACAATATGTAATATAAGTCTCTGATGTCCCCAGAATGTGTCTGTGAAGTTGCAGCACAAAATACTCCACAGATAATTTATTATATCATTTTGAAAATGCCTATTTTGAGTGGAAGCAGAAACATCTGAGGCTGGGACTGTAAATAGTGTTCTGTGCTCGTCTGTGCAGCCAACCACTGAACAGTTAGCATGTTTTGCTCAAACTTTCATCATAGCATTAGAGCTAGTACACTGTTGTCGCTTGCGAAACACAATGACGGCGCCGTGGGTGGAAACTTACAGATTAAGGGGCGGTAATATTATAATGAGATCCCTTTGCCACGTCACCAAGGGAGCGAAATCAGACGCGCTCGTTTTCTCAGACGCTTGCAGAAAAAGGCTTCCCAAAACAAAGTTACTGGGTTAATCTTTTTCACGTTTCCTTGGTTGGCAGATGCACCGGAGACCTGATTATAGCACTTAAAACCTGGAAAAGTCAGATTTTCATGATATGACACCTTTAACAGTTTAGAGGCGTTTACACATGAAACAAGTCTAGACGCTTTTATTCTGGTCTCCAGCGGGCCAATAAAAGCCTCTTCCAGTTGTATCGCTCCAATATGAATTCAGATTTGTATAGAGCGTCTCATTCAAAGCAGGATATAAAAAATTGATTTGGTCTTGTAATTTAATTTATTATGCTTGAATGATGCTTCTAATTCAGATGATAGCATCTGCAAGGATATGATCCGGTTTTATTGCATTACTCTTGAATGAATATGAATGGGAACAAAACAGTGTTTATTTTCTTATTTTAAATGTACTTTGATTTCCAACCTTCTGTCTTAGTTTACATCTGAGCAGAGATGAAATATGACACATTGGATTTCTGTTTGATGGAGAGAGAGAGAAAAAACACCTTTATTTACTACAGACTAATTTATTATTTTTTTCTCAAATTATATGTATGCTTTGTTCAACCCTTAAATTTTGAAAACAATATATATTTTTCCTAAAGAAACAAACAATCAAACAAACAAAAATATTATTATAAATAATTATATAAATTAATAACTATTTTCTTTAGACAAAATGTTGCTAAATGAAGGTCAATATCATATTTTTTGACTTTTTACAAAGTAATTTCACCATAAACAACATGTAAATTTAATAATAATAATAATGTCTGATTTGTTACAACCAAAGTTATTCTCTTTTTTTTTGTCAAATTTATAAATTTTTTCAAACTTTTTTGATTTAATATTAATCAACCATTTTTATTTTCCTAAAGACATACATTCATACAAAGTAGGGATATTATTTATTATAAAGGCAATGTTTACATAAGCCAAAATGTTATGTAGTACAAATTAACAAAAACAAAAGCACAATTAGCTATAATTTTCATTTAATATAAAACTAAAAACATTTCGTTAGTCACCGTTTAATTCAGTTTGCTTGCTACAAACAGACAACCTTGAAATTATTTATTGTGATGCCTTTTTTTATTTTTATATGCATCATATTTTCTGTTGTGTAAATAAAAAAATAAAAAAAGCAGAAATGAATGAATAAAATAATTTCTGCAGTCGGTAAAGCTTTTCAACAATCTCAATCGAAATAACTATTTTATATCAAAATTGTTTCTTTTAATTCTTTCTATGGCAAGCATTATTTGCTTTTAGAGAAACTCAACAAAACCGGTTTATGATTTTCAATTAGAGCAACATAAAAGTGTAATTTAAGAACGTTACGGTGGTTTCAGATCTACCTGAACCCCGGTCCGGCTCAGGATCTGCTGTCATCGAGCAGCTGAAGTGTGGCTCAGAGATCTCCTCTTCCTCCCTCTGTTTAACATCATCCTCCTCTTCCTCCAGATCTACTCTCTCCTCAGTCTCCTCCTCGTTTATGGAGTCCAGCGAAGGTTTGATCATGGAAATATCCACCAGACTGCCATCCAGATGAACGAGCCTGACAACGAAAGAAACTCTCACTCATGATGAGACAGCTCACTCATTCTACCAATTAAAAACTGAATGGAAAAATCTAAAGTATTAAACATTAACCAGTGTTGAGTTAAAGATCTATATTTTAACGTCCCTCTGACTTTCTCATGTTTTCTGGTTTTACAGCACTGAATCACATACTTCATTTGCATTTGGTTTCCCACTAATAAAAAACAAACAAAAAAAACAGATCTCTTCAAACTCATCTATAATAATTAATACATTATATTATCATAATTTTGTTACAATTTTTACAATATTTAAATTACTTATGTTTTTATTTTATCAGCATTAACAACAACATCTATAACAATAATAATAATAATAACAATAATAATAATAATAAAACTTAAAAAAATCTTTCAGAAATGATGCTTTGGGAACGAACTGAAATAAAATAATTTCAAGTTAAAGTACTTGCATTTCTCAAATTTAAAGTGAAAAAAAAAGCTAAATAAAATATAAAGAAAAATGTCAAAAATATTTAAAAAATGACAAAAAAGCATATAATAAAATTACTAAAACTAAAAAAAAAAAACTAATCCAAAATATTAATAAATATTATAATAGCAGAGAAATAGTATTAAAATAACTTTTATTATTTTACTTCCGCTCCACAACCTGAAAAAGATGCACCTGTATTGTTAAAGATATGTTTAAAATAAAGTAGCTCATTTAATAATGCAAACAAAAAGACACTATACAACCTGAAAAAGATGCACTTGTGTTATGCACCTAGTTATGATTATATTCCCATTAATAATAACAACAAAATATTAATAACAACTATTAATAACTAACAACCATTATTATTATTATTATTATTGAAGAATGGGATCAAAATTGAGCCTTTTGGTCATCAGATGATCCCAAGCATGCCGGTGCCAGGATTATTTAATTTTCTCCAAGGAAATCCTGTCCGAAAACCTGATGGAGTCTCAAACTTGGGAGAAGATTTTTTTTTTTTTCATAAAAAAATGACCCCTAACATAAAGCTTCCAGCTTCGCAGGAATGCCTTATAAACAACACTGTTCATTTCCTGGAGTCAGAGTCTAGAACTCTGTTTTTGGAAAAGGCTGTCAGGTCACAAGCTCTTAAGAGACCGTGCGGTGCATCCTGAAGTGTGCTTTAAACAACCGCCGCTGTACCTGGAGATAGTGCTCTTCTGTTTGTCAGCCACAGATTTGATGTCGGTGAGCTCGAGGAAGCGCTCGTGGAAATAGTGCAGATGCAGAATGCACACCAGCAGGAACGAGGTGGGAATGAAGATCCGCGTGAACAGAGCAGGAACCGAGAACTTCTCCAGACCCAGATCTTCCAGCCTGCACAGAAGAGGAGCTCACCTATCACACCGCAACACCTGTCATACTGTACATAAGTAGAGTCGTCTCAAATGCATACTTCTCTCTGCTCATGCCAGTCATGTTGGACCACACGCTTATAGAGGACTCAAACTGGAACGTGTAGACCAGGATGAGCACCAGCATGGTGTAAACCACCACGGACATCCAGAAATACTTCAGCATCCAGCGCCACCTCTCATAGTGCAGCTGGAACAGAGTCGCACAACACATCAGCGGACTGTAGACAGACATCTGACAAACACAACAGTAGATGAACGGGGCGAACTACGGAAGCCCATTCCATCGCAGAATAAGGCAAATGCAACTTTTTATCTCAAGATTCCGACTTACTTTCTCGTTATTCTGAGACTGAATGTCTTCATAAACATTTTTACGGTATCTCACAATTCTGACTTTTTTCCCAGATTTCTGAATTCACATCTTGCATTTTTTTTTCCGCCTCAGAATAAAAAATTAAAAGGTTTTTTGCTTTTTCTTGCAATTGCAAGTTTATATCTTGTTATATATGTCGCAATTCAAGCTTTTATTCCCTCGCAGTTCTGAGTTTATATCTCTCAATTGTTTTCTCACAATTATTTTGTCTGATATAAAGTCTAATATAAACGTTCTCACAATTCTGCCTTTTTTGCAATGCAATTTTTTGCATGTTTATATCTCACAATTATGACTTTTCTTCTCAGAACTGTGTTTATAACTCTCAATTATGCATTTATATATTGCAATAATTTTTTTTTTGCTTTAGAACTGCAAGAAAAAAGTCTGAATTTCCTTTGTTATCCTGTGGCATAAACAAACAAAATAAATAAATGAAAATATACAAAAATAAAACAAACAAATGGATAACAAACAAACAAAAACAAATGACTGATAAACCACAAAACAAAGAAAATAAAACAACAGACGGATAATAAACAAATGACAAACAACCACAAAAAAGATGAGATACAAACCAAAAACAAACAAACAGATGATAAACAAACCAAATGACAGTACACAAAGCACAGAGACACACAAACTGCACATTAATTATTGTCTAATAATTTCCTTACTATCAACAGCACATAAACGTATGTTATTTGTTAAAATTGAAGCGATATCAAGAGGCTGTTGTCAGAGTTATCAGAGCTACAGAGCACAACACAAACCTGATAAAGTGCCACGCAAAAGAGCACACACACACACATACACACACAGACACACACGCACACGCACAGATAAACACACACACGCACACACTCGCACACACACACACACACACACACACATTCATAAATGCACAATCTAGGGCTGTCAAAACACATTCTGTGGATAATATCACCGTAGTTTTAGTTAACTCAACCTTAAGTCTGCACCAAGTTCCCAGGTGAAAAGGTTTAGCGCATCAAAATGTTTACCAATATAGCTGATAGAAATGCTGATTATACATTTGTTTTTTGTTTTTGGGGGGGTTGTTTGACTTTACTAGTTCTAAAAAAAAAACATTCAAGATGCTCTAAAAGATTCAAGAGTTTTTACAGAAGTTACAGTAAATACACAAATGAAATGTTTCGAACGGCATCTGTCTCTGAAAACAATTCAGCACTGATCGATTTGATGTTATTGATATTTTCAAAGCTGTTATTGCCATTTTCAATGTGCTGCTCTCATTTCTAACTGGTAACCTCTTGAAAATCTGAAAATGGAATATTTGAAAAAAATTATATCAAATTTTTAGATATAATAAATTATATTTCGCAATATTAAATTGTTTGTGAAATGTGTCAGCAGTAAGCTGGCCAAATGTAATTCATTACTCTCTATTTGAGGATATCTGTGATGCGAAAGATTAAATATTTGCAATATACACACTATTTTTATGGAAACAGCTTTTGCAATACACCAAAACTTATGTGACAATGCACACTATTTTATCTGTGAGATGTCAACTGGATGGAAACAGCAAATTTCGCAACCTTTTGCATGCATTCTAACTTTGCAAAAGGGAAAAATTGAATTGAAACCGAACCAGATACTAGTTTTCATTAATAGCTTGAATTGTTTTTTATTTTTCCATTTTCTTTTTAGTTTTAGTTAAAAGTTTTAGTAATTTTGTTGTCATTTTTATATATCTATAATGTTTTTTATTCATTTTTATTTCAGTTTTAGTTATTTTAGAATCAAGTTAAAATAAATGAAAATGCAAATGTTGCCTAGCTGAAATAAAACAAGTTTAAATTCTCTGATTTGATGTTTTTTATGGTCTTAGTTACATCGGTAAAGGAGTTGTTTCTGTACAGGTGGACTGACCGATTGTGTGTCCCTCCACTTTGACGTCAGACAGCTGTGTTTCATCCGTCTGTCGCTCTCTCCTCTCAGTCAGAAACTGCCTCAACAGCAGCCAGAAACTGAGGAGACACAAAGTCTGCACAAACACACACAAACACACTGTACATTATTCAAGCCAAACAATTCATTCACAAGAGGATGTGTGTGTGATCAGTGCCTAAAACTGCCTTAATCAGGGTCAAACCCCTGTGGAGCAGTTCTTCAGTGATTTTAGCAGCAAATACATATCGTAAAATACACTAATCTTCAATAAATAATCAACTGTTCTATTACCAATCATCACAATAAACTACTCTTCCAACAGGTATTGCACTGTGTCCTAATCAATCACAATCAATCACAGTGTGGCTCATCCAATCAGATTATTAAATGGGAAAGATCTTTTTTATAAGTTATTTAAACACATTAATATATAGACAACAGGGCTGGGTGATGTGGCCAAAAATATTATCACTTTTTTATTTATTTTTTTTTAGCTTTAATGGGGAAGGATATTTATTTTCCCCTAAATTCTGTGTTTTCCTTTTACATAAGTACATTTTAGTATACAATAGTAATATACTTCTGTCATAATTTCTTCAAGTTAAACCAGTCTTTTATTTTGACGGGTTGTCGTGAAGGTCTTTCAGTTTTACTTTCAGTTTCAGCGAGTATTCGGCGGTATTTCTTTATTTCTGCTGTGTGATTACTCCATATCGACTAAAAATGTCCCGAGCTTATCATTTTATCACAATATGATATCGTTTATCGCCCAGCTCTAGTAGACACATATAAACACACGGCCTCACTTTAGATCCCAGCTCCCGGAAAGGCACTTCTTTCTTCAGGAAGAGCCCAGGAACCGGCTGCAGCGACTCGAAGCTCCAGATGTACTGCAGGATGATGAGCAAGTTCCCATAAAACACCATGAACGGAGAGGTGATCATGGAGTATTTCCTCCGGTCCCTCACCATCCACAGAATACAGGACCAGATGAGGAAGACGAAGGTCAGCCAGCTCACGTACGTGATGCTCCAAGCCTGGACGGACCGTCAGGAGAAGAAAAGATAACCAATGGTCTTTAAATGATTGTCCTTTGCACTGAACCGGCTGCTGAAAGCAAGGACAGTGAAGCAGGACTCACCATCATGGCGATGAGAGCACAGATGTAGCTCTGCTTCATGATGAACCTGAAGGCCTTGACCGCCGCGTTCACACGAACAACACCGAACGGCCGGGGAACCTCGGGAAGCTCAACATACGTCGAGTCAATCTTGTAAACGCCGCAGTCGATTTTCTCTGAAAAAGAAGCGTGTATTTTAGGGTGGGATTCTGTGAATCATCTAATATCTCAGCCCTCGAGCATGAATGGAGGCTTTACACGTGTCTATCTGGAACATTCAGACTGAATTTCCAAGAACTGAAAAAACAAACTTCCTGAAATGTATGGGGAATATCTAGGGAACGGGGGTGTGAATGGGAATAATGTGAGACTGTGCACTGTGTTTGGTAGAAAAACTAATAATAACAAGTAATAAACAAGTCATTTGCACCTAAATCTTAATCAGTAGTTTAATCTTGTTTTCCAGTAAATATATGAAAACATGAATATGAATATACACTACCGGTTAAAAGTTTGGGATCAGAATGATTTTTAATGTTTTTTACAGGAGTCTCTTCTGCTCATCAAGGCTGCATTTATTTGATCAAAAATACAGGAAAAAATGTAATATTGTGAAATATTTAAAAAGAAGAGCATTTATTTCAAATAGAAATCTTTTCTAACAATATACACTACAGTTCAAAAGTTTGGGGTCAGTACATTTTTATTCTTTCTTTTTTTGAATGAAATTAAAACTTTTATTCAGCGAGGATGTGTTACATTTATAAGAAGTGATAGTAAAGATTTATATTGTTAGAAAATATTTATATTTTTAATAAATGCTGTTCTTTTGAACTTTTTATTCATCAAAGAATCCTGAAAAAATATTGCAGTTTCCAAAAAAAATATTTGGCAGCACAACTGTTGATAATTCTAATAATAAATCAGCATATTAGAATGATTTCTGAAGATCATGTGACACTTTATACTGGAGTAATGATGCTGCTGGAAATTCAGCTTTGCATCACAGAAATAAATTATATTTTAAAGGATATTAAAATAGAAACCATTATTTTATATTGTAATAACATTTTGCAAGATTACAGTTTTTTTCTGTATTTTTGATCAAATAAATGCAGCCTTGATGAGCAGAAGGATTTCTGAAGGATAATGTGACACTTTATACTGGAGTAATGATGCTGCTGGAAATTCAGCTTTGCATCATAGAAATAAATTATATTTGATAGGATATTAAAATAGAAACCATTATTTTATATTGTAATAACATTTAGCAAGATTACTGTTTTTTTCTGTATTTTTGATCAAATAAATGCAGCCTTGATGAGCAGAAGACACTTCTAAGTCTTACTGATCCCAAACTTTTGAACGGCAGTGTATATACATATATATATATACATACATACTAATTTTGTCTTGTTTTCCAGTAAATATATCTAAATGTCCCTAAACCAGATAGACTTCACAAGCAAAACTGTGCAAGATACTGTTTAAAACAATCACAAAACAAGTTACAAGTTTAGTTATATAGAGATACAATATATTAATATGATTATAATATATAGATTATATAATATAAACTTAGAATGATTCTATATTCATGTAGAAAATTAATAATACAAATAATAATCATAATCGCAATAATATATATATATATACACACACACACACACACAGAAATGTCTTTGCAATTATATGCCATTTTGCATCTGATGCAAATTTTATTATTTATTTTTTTTATTATTACTTTTTTTTTTTTTTATCTTGGATCAACACTGCTTATTATGAAAATGAGTTTTTGCAAGTTATTGAACCGACTTGTATTTGGAATATCATAAAGGCAAATGATTTAGCTTTTAAAAGTCTGTCAGCAAATAAGACTTTTCTTTCTTTCTCTTGTTCTTGAAACCATTGAGCTGAACTGTTTTGGACTGCAGCACATCTGTTCAGTTCACTTACGCGCATCAGACTCGGCTCTGTAATGAGGGGTAGAGTAGAGCTCCACAGACCTCGGCCCGTTCTCCTGAGCGACTGACGTGAAGTCCAGCGAGGCTCCGTTTGACGTCACGATCAACACCTGAGACAGAGTACAGTCACAGTATTCACACTGCTTTCGCTTCTGACTTCATCTGTGATGCTCACTAATGAAAGCTGATCTGAAACACAGACCTCGGGTGTGCTATGGCCATCTCGTGTGGTGAGCAGCTGAAAATGATGCAAAAGAACAACTCAGGACGACTCTTTCTCCATAAATCACATCTCCAAAACAAGTCAGAGAAAATATATAAGTGGTAAGTGCATGTTTGCTACACAAACAATCATTTTTAATGCTTAAATGGAGGAAGATTGTATTAGTCTAAGTGATTATAAAAGAATGATAGTGATGCACAGAAATAAAAATTCTGGGCCAAAATCAAAACTGAAAATTCAGAATGCACTTGGCCGAAAACTGAAACATACTTTTTAAAATTTATATATAAAAAAAAAATTATATATATATATATATATTAGTATAATAACATGTATTAATATTATTGCAATATCAAAAATCAATACAAAAATTTATATTTTCATTTCGCTAAAAACTGAAACCAAAAACAAATTGCATTTAATAATAAATTAATGAATCAAATGTATTTCATAATCAACAAGTTGTACAAACATTTAAATTGCACATAAGACTGTTTTGAAAACTTTTTAATAATAGAATCATGTTATTAAACATAATCTAATTTGTTGTTGAAATATAAACATCTAAACGGTGGCCTTATATATATATTTTTTTATTTTTTACATTTTTATATTTATATTTTTTAATCTATATTTTATATCCGTATCTAATCTATACCTTGTTTTCATGACATATTTATTCAAAAGACAACATATTAAGTAAAAATATCATGAATATGTAATACAGTGTTTTTTTTTTCTAGCTGACTAACGAGTTTATGGATATTGAATGGCTTTCCTAAGGTAAATGTGATGTTATGTGACGTTATTTTAATACAACTGAAAATTGCTGAATATTTTTGGTTCCTGAAATGTTGGTGCATCACTAAAGAGTGAAAGGGAGCTCTGGAAATGTTCAAGACTCCTACGTGTCTCTCATCTGTGCGATAATGAGCCATTCTCCACAGCTGTCTCTTCTTCTCTGCGGTGTAAACGACATTATCGCTTTCAGGAGATTCTGGTTCCTCTCGTCCCTCGGTCTCTCCCTCCTTCTCTTTGACCTGCTGATGAACCACGATCACACATACATCCCATCATATTCAGCATCTTAGAGTTTAATACGGCATACAAAATATTCCTTAAACCCTCATGTTGTGTTCTGGTCATCTGGACCCAAAAAAATGCTAGTTAATATAAATAAAACTCACTGACTTTGCTCACACAGTGTAGAACAGAAATCCCCCCCCGCCCCAAAAAGTATAGTTTTTACACTTTTTGGGATTTTTTCCTTCCTTGTTACACTCGTGGTGTTCCCGGTCAAAAATCATAGGCTTAGAAAAAAAATTGCTTGTAAATCTCTTATTATACTATATTATTACCAAGTATTAGATTCAATCATTTATCAGCGTGTATTCTTTGAATCAGCACAGGTTTTGTGTTTCTTTTTGGAGCTGACTGATCGCAGGCCTCGTTGATCTGAGCTCATGCATATGTTAAATGCATATGAAAACATGATTTGTGGATAATGTTGGCAATATTCACTCAAAAACTGAGGTTTAAGCTCAGATGAATGAGGCCTAGGATCAAAATGAAACACAAAAGCTGTGCTCATTCAAAGAAAACAAAAAGATTGAATCGAAGATTTGCTGATAAAACTGCATAATGAGCGATTTACATGCAAGTTTTAAAGATCAGTCATTTTTGACCAAGAATCAGCACAAAACAAGGGTTAAATATGAAGAGTTTGGTTCCAAAACTTGATAAACGCCATTTAAAAAAAAAAAAGAGTTTCCGCCAAAATCAGTATTGTATCTGGTCGGTATTGAAAAGTCCATTTTTAATTTTACACAAAATGTGATATCCGCCGAGTTAGTCTGTCATGTTTCCTTTCTTTCCAAACTGCGACAAACGCCAGTCTCCCTTCTCTGCAGAATGCGATATATCCGCTCAACCAATCACAGCGTACCATTCCATGCACTGTAAACAGGAACAACCAATCACAGCGCACCATTCCACGCACTCTAGACAGTAACAACCAATCACAGCGCACCATTCCACGCACTCTAGACAGTAA